AGGCGCTCCCTTTACAGGCGCGGGAAAGAATAAACAGAGCGGCTTAAAAAGAGGTCAATATATCTGAAATGCGCAGGGAAAACACTGGTTCTCGTCAGAGAAATAGCAAGCATCGAATTAAGCTAAAAGAATCCTTTAGCAGTCAGGAAGCGCGGGAAGAACTAAAGCCATAAATGAAATTCGAAAGAAACCAAAGTATTTCTTCTCTATGCCAAATCAAATCGAGAACAAAGTCCCAGTATAGGGCCCCTACTTAAACAATATGGGTCCTACACAGATGGACAGGCAAGGAAATGAGTGAGCTACTCAAGTCCCAATATTGACTCAGTTTTTTGCTTTTAGCAAGCCGCTAACCAGACTGAGAGTCGAAGATCAAAAATAATTTTTTATGAGGAGAGCCTCAATTTGAATTAAAACACAAGCTATCCGGATGTTATCCTGACGCCAAATGCCTTCGAACAGCATAAAATGACATGCCCATGCACTCTGCCCCAGGGCCAGATCATGGAACTTCTGTGTTCAATCAAGCACTGCAGAAGCCCTATACGAGCCTTTTCCATCCTTGGACGTGGGAGCATGGACACGGGGGTCGTCCCCAGTTACTAAAACAACAGACATAGGCCCCACTCCACAAGTGGGCAGTAAAGCAACAGCAAAGAACTACAGACCAATAGCACTAACATCCCATATAATAAAAATCTTTGAAAGGGTCCTAAGAAGCAAGATCACCACCCATCTTGCAAAACCCATCAGTTTTACTCAACCAAGGGCAATCATGGGTTTAGAAACAGGTCGCTCCTGTCTGTCTCAACTACTGGATCACTACGACAAGGTCCTAAATGCACTAGAAGACAAAAAGAATGCAGATGTTATATATACTGACTTTCAAAAGCCTTCGACAAGTGTGAATGGCGTAATAGCGCACAAAATGCGCGCTAAAGGAATAAACAGGAAAAGTTCGGTCGATGGATCTATAATTTCCTCACTACAGAACACGAGGAGCTAGTCGTCACAGAGTAAAGTTCCGAGGCAGCTACGGTGAATAGCTCTGTTCACAAGGCACAGTACTAGCTCCCATCTTTTCCTCATCCTCATATCCGACATGGACAAGGATGTCAGACACAGCACCGTGTCATCCTTTGCAGATGACACCCGAATCTGATGACAGTGTCTTCCATTGCAGACACTGCAGGCTCCAGGCGACATCAACCAAATCTTTCAGTGGGTGCAGAAAACAATATGAAGTTCAAAACGTGGAGAAATTTCAATTACTCAGATTGGTAAACATGAGGAAATTAAATTTCATCAGTGTTACAAAACATTTCTGCTCAAAATAGAGCGAAACACCATCGTCAAAGACCTGGGAGTGATTTTTGTCGGCGGATCTCACCTTCAAGGTCCATAACATTGTATCATCGGCATTGCTAGAAAAAAAATGACAGGATGGATAATGCGAAACCTTCTAACATAGGGAGGCAAGCCCATGATGACACTCTTCAGGCCACTTGTTCAATCTAGGCTGGAATAATTGCTGCACTCTAACAGCACATTTCAAGGCAGGTGAAATTGCCGCCTAGAAATTGTACAGAGTACTTTCACGGCGGGCATTAACGGAGATTAAAACACCTCAATTACTGGGAGCGCTTTGAGGTTTCTAAACTGTATTCCCTGGAAGCAGGAGGGAGAGATACATTGATTATATACACTGGACATAATCCTTGAGGGACTAGTACCGAACTTGCACCACGAAAATCACTCAACTACGAAAGCAAAAGACTTGGCAGGACGATGCACCATCCCCCCAATGAAAAGCAGGGGTGTCACTAGCACGTTTAAGAGACCATACATAAGTGTCTGGGGCCCGAGCCTGTTCAACTGCCTCCCAGCACACCTAAGGGGATTACCACAGGACCCCTGGCAGTCTTCAAGCTGGCACTGGACAAGCACCCTAAAGTCAGTTCCTGATCAGCCGGGCTGTGGCTCGTACGTTGGTTGCGTGCAGCCAGCAGCAACAGCCTGGTTGATCAGGCGCCTGGTCCACCAGGAAGGGCCTGGTCACAGACGGGCCGCGGGGGCGTGACCCCCGAAAACTCTCTCCAGGTAAACTCCAGGTAAACTCCCAGGTGGAGGATGTAATTGGTGGTTTTGAGGTTTGTTACAGGTTTAAAGTGAAATGTGGAGAATCGAAAATTATTGGTCTTAGGGAATTGGGTAGGCGATGGGCGCGATGGGAAAGAGCTGTGCGTTGTGTGTGGTGGATAGATAAAGGTGTGTGGGATAATTATATGGGGAATGCCGGGGAGGCAAGGATGCCTTAATTCTGGGAGGGCAGTGGATAGGTTGGGTGGGTAGGTTAAATGTTTTGAGACCCTTGCATTTGACGATACATCAACGTGTGATAGTGGTGAATGTGATGGTTATATAGTATGGTCTGGCATGTGGCAGCAGTATATCCGTGGCAGGAACGGACATAATAGAATGCTAAAAAAGGTTTTTCGATATATAAAGAAAGGTTTTCGATATATAATATGGGGTTCTGGGTGTGATTGGTTGGGTAGAAGTGTTGTTATGCTACGGTCGACAAAGGTGGCTTGGGTTTAATAGATAAAGATTAAGGGTTAAGTGTAATATTGGAAAACAGAGGGGGTTTTCCGAGTAATGGACGGTCGTGTGGGGAAGGGTGTGCAAGCCTTATATGGGAGGACGAAGGTGGTGGGGTAGGATCAGTGATGAGAGAGTGTGTGGATGTGCTGCGAGCTTTATTGTATGTTAGAGATCCGTCTAGGATACAGGTAGGTGTTCTGGAGCGCGCTGTAGGGGTGAGGGTGATTGCAAAAATGTGAGGGCATATACCCATTGTATGCATGGGGAGACATTTGGGTAGGTGCGGTTGGTGGCATCAGACCAAGAGTGAAGCGAGGTAATGTTTCGTTTCCTTCATGACTATTGCCCGTTTATCTGGTTGTGTGCTTCGGGGAGAGAGGGTTGATGGTGGAAGGACGTATGTAGGGCGTGTGGGTAGGGAGACAGCTTTTCATGTAGGTATATTTTTGTAAAAATTTGGAGTGTATACGGGAGGTGGAATGGGTGGGAATTTTGAGGAGGGTGGGGGGGGAGGGATTCGGTAATTAAGGGATTGAGTTTAGATGTGGGGGTGTGGAAGAGTCTGTGAGCGTAGCCTTTGGTGTACATATAACTGATTTTGTTTCGTATATGGGCCATGAGTGGGTTAATGGGATTGGAGGGTGCGAAAGAAGGTATTGGCGTCAACAATGATACAAAACCTTAGTCGTAATAGGGGGATATATGGAAGTAGATGGAAAGGCGCTTTTCCTGAAGAGATATCGACAGTATGAATTGTCAGAGGGTTTGTTTGGCGCGTAAGGAAAAAAAAAAAGGGGGGGGGGATGTTAGGATTTTCAGGGGTTGCAACCGGGCTCGTCTCAGAATTTGGAATGTATGAGGAAGTTCCATGTGATATGGTGTGAAATGGCAGTGTAGTTGTGGAGTTGTGTTTTAAGAAAGTTTGTCACACTGTACTAACCCAAAAAAATCAGTAATACTATCAGAAACAAATACAATTCATAAAAAAGTAAGAAAAAAAGACACCTACCAACTGCTGGATATAGTACAGTACTTTCATATTAACCTACATCAACAGAAAACCAATGAGTCACTGACATAACTGATAGCATGTATTTCTGCCTGCTATTGCACTCCATTACAAAACCCTATCTTCTACATTAGAGTAAATATGAACTAACATATTAGTAACAGCCCAACAAGAAGCTTGCACAATTACTGACAGGGCAACTGCCCACCATACTGCAATACATACATTATCTATAATTTATTGTTAGCACTTAAATTGGCACTTGAATATATAGGAAGGATTATTTGGTATTTTAACTCATCATATACCAAATTCCATTTGCTGAGTGTAATTAGTTTGATGAAACAAATCATGAACATACCCACAAAAAATCATTTGAACAAACATGGAAATTTAAATGCATAATTTTAACCAACATATATTCCTTTAACCCGTAAACGGTCCAAACGTATATATACGTTCACTACCGTACTGCCCCAACTTTTTTGAGAAAAAAACATTGTTGTTTTTTAATAGGAAAAAAGAGCATATGGTACCCAGGCATCCCCAATTATTTTAATATGGTGCACAGTGAGTGCTCACACCCATTCTCGCATGTCTAGGCGACTCAGGCTTATCGTGGCAATGTTAAATGTAGGACACATAAAACGTATATATACGTTTGGGGCACTAGCGGTAAAAACGTATACTATATACGTTTGAACCGTTTACGGGTTAAAAAACATCAAGTTATTTGAGAATATTATAATACTACTTCAATTCACAAAAGATGATTCTTGCATATTGTACACTTGGAAAATCTAGTCCCAAATCTGCACATGGAAATCACTCCCTACGAATGCAAAAGCTTCAGCATGTGATGCAACATCCCCCCCCAATGAAAAGAAGGGGTGCCATGAGTAAGCTAAGAGACAACACAATACTTGTAAGTGTCAGAGGCCCAAGTTTATTCAACTGCCTCCCAGCATATATAAGGCACCTAAAGTCAGCTCCTGACCAGCAAGGTTGTGGTTTGTATGTCGGTTTGCATGCAGCAAGCATTAACAGCCTGATCAATCAGGCCCTGATCATGGACTGGGCCGCAGGGTCAAGAAAACACCCACCAGGTATACTTCACACCTTGTTCCATTGCTCGCAGTGCTTTTTAATACTGCATTTAAAGTTTTAATGCAAAATTAACTGAACACCATTAAAATTTATGTTCCTATTACCTTTTATACAGTTATTCTTTTAGAATTTAGCAAGTAATTCTGGGCTTGGTATATGGTACCATATTTAAATTTTGAGATAATACTATTAAAATCTACACATACTTGAAAGAGAAGATACTGTACTTGTATTGTAATGAAAACCAACATGTATACTGATAAGAATGGATATTACTTACAAGCAAGTTCAGCAAGTGTGTGTTCATTGAGATGCGAGAACCCTGGATCCAACTGAATAGGGTGCAGGCAACGCTGGCATACAAAGTTGACTATAATACGAGGTTCCATATTTGCTTCTTCAAACAAGCCTGAAGACATCATACAATACTTTATTATTAGTAGAAGTAATAGTAGTAGTAGTAAAATAAGATTTATTCCAATTTTTAACTCTTGGGAAAGTTAGCCACCCAGGATAACCCAAGAAAGTCAATGCATCATTTCTCTTATTTCTATTGGGGTCCTTTAATCTTGTTCCCCAGGATGTGACCCACACCAGTCGACTAATACCTGGGTACCTTCTTACTGCTGGGTAAAGAGCAAATTGTACGTGGTTTACCTTTATTAGAAAAGTCAGTGTGATAGTTATTCATGTGGTAGGTTCAGAAGAGTATGCACACACTCATGCCAATGACAAACTTAAAATTTTTAAAGCCAAAAAGGGGCCCCCATCAAGGGAGGTTCCGGGATGTGGTGGGGGGCCTCTTAACCCCTAGGGAATTGAATCTGTGCCCCATTTCCTGAATTGACCTGAAACCATCCCCCCCCCCCACTTTTTGGCGCTGCAAACCCTAAGGGTTTAGCGCTGCCCCTGATTTATAAAAAACCACTGTGTACTGGACCCCCCCCGGGTTTGTAAGACCAACACAAAAATTAGAAATAAACCCCTGGGAGTAAGTTTATTTAGGCCCCGGTACACCTAAGTAACAGTGTGAATTTTTAACAAAGAAAATTACCGGGGAAAAACCCAAAAAAAGTCATTGGGAAGTGACTTATTTCCAGGGGAAAAACCTATTGAATTAAAAACACTGACGTTTTTTCCATGGGGTATAATTAGTGCATAAATGGGTTGAAAATTAAAAATCAATAAAATAAAATAAAGCAATGGGTTTTCCCCCAATTGTTATTAGTTAAAACGGGAAAGCTTTTTTAAAGGTTACTTTTTGTTGTTGTGGTGGGGGTCTGAGGGCCACTGACAGTTTCCCCTCCTATAAAACCCAGCGTCAGTTAAAATAAAGTAAGTCAGTCAAAAAGTTTTTTAAGTAAGTAATTTTATTCAGGAAATACAAAAATGGGTTACTTTTTGTTTATCATATACATAGCAGCATATGTGTAGAAATCGGGGGATAACCCCAAAAAAATTTTTTTTTTTTTTTTTTTTTTTTTTTTTTTTTTAATTTTTTTTTAAACATGACATTACAAAATAAAATTATGAAAAAACTCATTTAAGTCATAAATTAACCAACCCCCCCAAAAAGTAATGTTACACACCCCTTACAACCCGTGGGGGGAAACCCCCCCCCCCCCTCCCTGCTCCCCATCCTATCATTTTAACCAAAAACCCCGGTTGGAGCTACTCAACAGAAACAGTATGAAAAAACACTTTTATAAAAACACCCCCTCAAAAATGGATTTAATGATCATACAGCCCAAAGCAATTTTTCACTAAAAATTTTAATACAGACAAAATTACCCCCCCCTAGGGGACCCAAACCCCACCCCACTATTTTACAACCTAACATACTTTTAAAAAAGGGAATGTTGCCTAATCTAAAGTCCCCCAGAAATTGACCCAAAAACATTTTTTTTTATGTAATTGCCCAAAGGGTTTTCTTTTACATAACAATATGTATTACACAACAATGGTGTATAAAAAAGGGCCAAGGAAAATAAAAAAATTACAACAAAACCAAAGAATAAACTTAGTCTCAAAATCCAACACATTTTAACCTTTACCCATTTAAACATCCCAATTCCAGTGTTAAAAAAATCACACAGCTTCAACTGGACATTAAAGCCTTACACTTATATGGACATTACATAGGGGTATTGACAACGTACAATACAACAAAAAATAAAACCCAATGACACAAGTAACCCCAAAAAGGACTGTGCCTAGCAGCACCCAACCACAAAACCCTATAACCCACTTTTTCCCCCAAACTTTATTTAAAACTATCTGACGTGCTTTAACCTTTTTTAACCCCCCCCAAAACTGAAAATTCCCAGAAACACCGGGGACAAAACAATAATCCCAAAAACATTAATACAAACATATCACACCCATATCTTGACACCGGGCATGTTCAAAGCATCAACCCCTATGCAGTGCAAGGCACCTAGAAAACAAGTTGGAGAAACACATGCAATTTTTTTATAGCAAATCCCAAAAAACAGTGTCATTCCCGAAAATAAATTTACCACACAAAATAGAAATAAAAAGTATAAAGTCCTTCAAAAAAAAAAACTGGCCAGCCCCACGGGTGCTAGCCCCGTGGCCCACATTTTTATTCCCCTCATGAAATCCCCAATCCAACACTCCCCAAAAAATTTTTGTTACCCAAATTACCGGGGAGGCAACCCTTTTTTCCAACCCCAAATTTCCCGACCCCAGAAACACTTTCCAATCATAACCCTCCCCTCCCTGTATATTACAAGTCTAAAAAAAACCTGAAAAGGGTAAGTTCCCTATATCCCTCCTGAAAAACCCTTCACCCAAACCCTCCCCCCATAAATTTCCTTATTTCAACATACCTTTTTATAGATCTTTAACGCTAACACCTCCTCTTCACCCCAGTAACCTTTTTCCCCCGCAATCCCCACACTTAAGATATAATCTGCCATAATGTACCCCAACAGCTCTGATTAAAACTTCCCCCCAACCCCCCACTTTGGGAGACTTAATGCTCTCAAACAGAAAATTCCTTTACCCTCCTTTTCCTTTATTTTCCCCCCAAAATTTAACCCCCCCTTGGGACACCCCTCACCCATCAAAAAAAATAACTCCCTAAAAAAGCCGACTCCCCCCCACCACATATCCCACCCCCCCCCCCGTCAACGACTGGGTCCCCCCTTTAGAACCAACCCGAGGGAAAAAAATCCGTGCAAAAAACGATACATTACATCCCGAACAGGGGTTTTGAACCTCTCCTACTAAACCCTATTCCATAACTTCCCCATGCATACAGGGGGAAAAATTCCTCTACGGGCGCTAAAACCCCTCCCGGTAACAACCTACACAACCAAACCTTTTTTAAAACCTTTGCTGGCTCTCGATCCCCCGCCAGAGCCCCCAAACACAGTTTCACACTCATGCAAAATCAACTCCCGTATACATCCCTTGCAATCTGTTTGGATCCCGGCCCCAAACCCCCCCCCCCCACCACAAATTTCCCCCTTTACCTCCCCTTTTAAAAAGAAGACACATTTGGGCCCTCCCTTTAAGTCCAGAATCCCAGCCCCCCCCCCCACTTTCAGGTAACCCTTACCACATCTCTCTTAACCAAACACAAACTCGAACCCCCCCAAGAATTTAAAAAAACCCCTTTAAATTGTTTGTTATAGCGGGGCCCCTTAAAAGGGAACACGGGTGGGCCCCTGCCATACTTTGTATACATAAGAAAACAACAAGGCACGCTGCCCCAAGGGTCAAATGAAAAGGTCGCCAAACAAAAACCCCAAGGGGTCCCTGAAAACCTTTTCCCCCCCCTTTCCCAAAAACGAGTTTTTTCCCTGCGTGCCCCAAAAGGGAGATCGTCCCGCATTAAAAATAAGACCCCAGATTTTTAACGAATTAAACCCGCTTCCCCACCAAAGCACTACCCCAAACAACCCCCACCCCCCCCAAAACTCCCAACCCCAAAGACCATTTGGAAATTTTTTGAATTTACCCCATACCAGTTTTCCCCCGCGGAAAAATTTTTTACTAAAACCCCTCTAAGGGGTCCATTGACATCCCCTTCCCCGATCAGAAAAAGTTGTATCCTCCCAAAACCCAATTATCACTGGCCAAACCCCGCAACCTCACACCCGGGCCCTCTACGGACACATAAAGCTGCTCCATCAATCTATAAAAGGGGGCCCCCGAAAGGATGCAAAAAAAAAAATTTTGACATAGGACACCCCTGCCAATCCCCCCCATTACAATCTTCCCCCCCCAATCGGGCCCTTTTTTTTTTTTGTACCCCCGCCCATTGCCCCCTCCCAAAAACCTCAAAAACCCGCCCACTATTTCTTCCCCCAAACCCCCGACCCCTGAGGATGGCTTTCCCAAGGGTTCCGATCCACTCTATCATATGCCCCTGCCAAACGGGGCGCCAAACCCAAAACCCCTCCCTTCCCCCCCCCCCTTTTTTCCCCCCGAAATCCCTAAAATAACCCATGCCCCTCCCCCTTGACCTCCTGGGAAACCAAAAATTTTTTTTTTACTTACCCCCCTTAAACCAACCCCACTTTAACCCCCATTTCCCAAAAACTTCGCAAACCCAAATTTTTAACTGCGCATTTAAAAACGAGATCGCCCCGGGAATCCCGAACCCAGCTGCCCTTACCCTTCGGGACCAATACAACGCAGCCGTTTCCTGCTTCTCACCCCCTCACCTTTCTCCTTAAAGCAATTTAAAAAACCTAAACCAAAAAAGCCTTTAAAAGTTTCCCCAAACTGCGATTAAAAAATCAAAGGGGGTCCATTTAATTTGGTGCTTTTCCCTTTTTCCCCTTTTCCCCTAAAGCCCCCCCATATTTTCCCCTCATTATTTCCCCCCACCCAAATGCTTCCCCATCACTGTTACCCCAACTGACATACCAAAACTCCCACACACCCTTTTTAAAACCCCATTCCCTACCCCCTTTTCCCTTTTCCGTACTTCTCATACCACTTGTCCCGCAAAAGCCCCCCTTCCTTCCGTATTGTATTTACCTGCCCCCCTTTACCCTCCTACGTTCATAACCTCCAAACCCTGGAAAAGTCATTGCCTGGGTGTCTTTGTTTTTGCCCACGCAATAAGCCGATTTAAGGGCTATGCCCCTTAACACCTCTTCCAAAACCCCCCCCTTACCCCCCACCCCCTTGGAACCCTCATCCCGTAAACCCCACGCAGCCCCCCCTTTAATTTCCATAAATTTTTATCCATTGGATAAATGCCCCCCACCCCCCCTCGCATAACAACCCCCTAATCTATCCTCCAAATAGGGTTTGCAAGCCCCTATTTTTTAAAAAAATTGATTTCGTTTCCCCCTTTCCTTTTTCGTAATATTGCTTTAAACCGTTCTTTTTGGGCCCCACCCCCCACCAAAATCACCAAATCCTCTACCCCTTTTTTTTCGGGACCCTAAACCCCCCCCAGGTTGAGGGACTGATTACCTCATTCTCTCCTCTCCCTTACGGCTTCCTCTTGTATTGGGACTGATGAAAGCCACTGCGTGGCGAACGTTCCTGAATAAGATTCCCATATGCTGCATAAGTGTCTCAATCTTCTGTAGTTGTATTGATTTCAAAAGGGGAAGGCCCTACTACAGTGCAGAATACAGGGCATGTCGTTATTGTGCTGATTATAGATATTCGCCAAAAAATCATGGGGGAAACAGGCTGAGTGCGTGATAGAGTTGTTGCGAGAGGTCTGTATGGGGTGCCTGGATGGACGTGTATGAGGGACATGAATATAAAAGATTTTTGGAAAAGTATGGAGTGAGAATAAAAGGGGGGGGGGAGGGTGTCTTAGATTGGATTTGTAGGCTCGCGTATGATTGCGGAGAACGAAAGGCAACTGTGCATATTCTTACGGAGGCAGGGGTTTTGAGGGAAGAGATGGTACGTTGGATTGAGACTTTGTATAATAGAGGTAGGTGTTACGTGTGCAGGTTGAATGGGACATTGGAGTGAGTGGGTTTCAATGGGTAGAGGCATAAGGAAGGGTTGTCCTTGTCTCAACTGTTGTTTGCTTGTATACAGGACCTTTTTTTAGGGCAGTGGGGCGATTGTTTAGGGGGGTGGTTACGTGGTGTGGGAATGGTGGGGATGGGAATAATAGGTATGTGGATGATACAACAATTCTAATGAGCAGGGAAGGATAAAGTAACCAACAATACCAACCAGTCTGATAACATTCTTCTTTGCAAATAACAGGGTCTTAAAGCCAGCAAACAAACAACAA